ATGAACTTTACTGATTCTGGCATTTTCCAGCTCGTTCTTGTCTGACTTACAGAAAGGAGGGATGCATTTTTAAAAATGACTTCAAACTACTCTCACTACCATTACAAGGACGGGAAGTTTTGAAGCATTTGATATGATATAAATCTTCCTCTTCTTGTGCCATATCCATCATCAGATGTTGGCGATCACGTTGGGGATCTTATTTTTATCAATAGCCGCACGAAAAAGTGCTGCTGAATTTTGTCAAACCACTCCCTTAGATTTTGAAGCCATGATGTTCTTCTTCTGCCTGGAGCTCATTTGCCTTCAATCTTTCCCTGGAGGATTAAATGAAGTGTGCCGTATTTTTCTGGGTGTCGCATCACATGTCCAAAATATCCCAACTTTTGTTTTTTTAATTTTAATGGTTTTTTTAATGTTATAAATAGGTGACTCAAAAGATTATTCAGATTAGCATTGATCCTCATTACTTATTTTCCAAGGGTGTGTCATCAGCATTTCATCAAAAAAGGACTATGGGATAATGTATAGGAATTAATGGCTAAAGCTAAATTTTCATGTTCATGGATATTCCAGAGTAAAAATTGCAGACTACAGGAACCATGTTCACCTTTAACATTTGGAATTAACCACAGATACATACAAACTTTTCAAATTGTTATTTTCTCCCAGGGTTACCTTCTCTTTTCCATTACCTGATTTGGGAGTCGGGGTGGGGAGAGCGTATCATGTTTCTTTAAAAAAAGAATACAGAGTTAGTTTTCTTTTTTCTGCTTTAGTCTTTAAAATTGCTTTGTCTGTTTTAACAGTATAATCAATTGTGAAAGTTATTTTCAAATTTCCCACAACTATGATTGATATTTTGTTAGCAGTGGGAGAAAGTAGTGCCTAAATTTAGGATAACTTAGAATAGGCAGCACAGAGAAGTAGTGGTAATTATATAGTTGAGTACTATCTGTATTGCACTTTCTACAACCTATTTGGTGGCAGTTGTTAAGCGCATGCAACAATTGTAAAACAAACAGCCTGACTAGGTGGCTCAGCCTAACTAGGTGGCTAAGTGGCTGACACTGAGCTTGTCGATTAGAAAGGTTGGCAGTTCAGTGGTTCAAATCCCTAGTATAGGTCTCCTGCGTGAGCAGGGGGTTGGACTAGATGACCTCCAAGGTCCCTTCCAACTCTGTTACTGTTACTGAGTGGTCAGTGGGGCACTTGAGTTTACTTCTGCATACCCCTTTTTCTGGTGACTCATAGATTCCCTACCCAGTTGATTCAATTTCATTCAAACACGGCAGTTGTTAAGTGAATGCTACAATCATTAGGCAAACCCATTGTTCACTAGGGATGTAAGCATGGGTTTCTGGCAAAAATGTAAATCATGGTCATGTGACTGCAGGATACTATGAAAGACCACAACTGCAGGCTGGTTACCAAGCATCCAAAATGTCATGTGACCGTGGGTGGAGGCCCCTCCCCCCCAATCCTCAGAAGTTCAAATCTGGGTCATAAATTGTTTTTTGAATGGTTGCTAAATGGCTGGTCGTAAGGCGAGGACTATCTGTAAGTCACAGGCTTGGTCTTGTCGCAGTTCTGTGTCTACCATCTGCACAGCTATAGAATATCAATATTCTCAATAGCAGTAATTGCAAGAGGGATCTTGGAATCCTAGTGGACAATCACATTGGAGCCAGCAGTTGTGTGGCAGCTGTTAATAGAGCCAAGGCAGTGGTGGGCTGCAGTAACAGAGGGATAGAATCAAGATCACGTGAAGTATTAATATCACTTTATAAAACCATAGTAAGACCACATTTGCAATATTGCATCCAGTTTTAGTCACCGTGATATAAACAAGATTTTGAGACATCGTGCACAGAAAAGAGCAGCAAAGATAGAGGGGACCAGAGGCTAAAATATCCGAGGAGCGGGTGCAGGAACTGGGTATGTGTAATTTAATGCAGAGAACGGCTAAGGGTCACATGATAGCAGTCCTTCAACAGTTGAGGGGCTGACGCAGAAAAGGGGGTCGACCGATTCCCCAAAGTGCCTGAAAGTAGGACTAAAAGTAACAGGGAGAATTATTTTAAAAAATTCCAACCTACAATTAAGAAGAAATTGTCAGTGAGAACAATTAATCAGTGGAACAAATTGCCTCTCAACCTGTGGTTGTTCCATCAGTGGAGGCTTTTAAGAGGAGACTGGAGAGCCATTTGACTGGGATGATATAGGTTCTCCTGCTTGGAGAGTTGGTCCCTTCCAACTCTTACTCTGTAATTCTGTAAGAACTTCATGAACATTTAGGGCTCAGCATGTAGCTCATCTTCAGAAGCTTAAGTAGCTTCACATTTCACTCTTTTACTTGGCTCTGTTGCAAAGATAGGATGCTAGGAGTCTAAAACAACTTGATAGCATATAATCAGTGACAACATCTTGCAAATGCCTTAGGCAGAGACAGGACAAGCGTGTTTTTTCGCCTCCGGTCAGGAGATGGCGGTCACTTCTGCGACTACAAAGCCGTCAATACAGTAGCTACATCTGTGGTTGATCCTTAAAGGAGTTAAAACCATCAAGTACTGTATTGCTAGAAAGGATTGAGGAAGAAGAGAAGCCCAGAGGAACTTCCTGTACCGGATCCCTCATGGGTGGAAGGTGGCTTGCAGAGCGGCTTTTGTGCTCTTCTAAAAGTTGAAGCATCACCTGGAAGGTGAGTTGAGGGCAAGTTGGAGGAGAGGCCAGAAGCAAGTTGGGCTATTTGGTTTGGATGCTGCCAACCGATGCACATTTATGATGGTGACAACATCCCACAATCATGATCCCCATTTTTAACCTTCCCAGCTTGTTTCTCATAGGCAAAGTTAGTGAGGATGATGATGGCAAGAAATAGCAAGTGACAGTCATGTGAAATTGCCTTTAACAACCCACAGTGGTTTGCTTAACAACTCCAGAGGAACAGATGTAAGTTGGCAGTTATGTGACATCATGCTTCATGATCGGGCTGCTTAGTGACACAGATCCCAGTCCCAAATGTGAGGACTCCTTGAAAGGGGATGTCACCAGAGGAATTGTGGACAGGAGGACAGTATTTTCTTATTTGGAGCTGAGGACTTCCATCGGTGTAACTGGTGTTTCAAATTTTCCAGAGGCTTTAGGCATCATTTCATCAGTTAAAGCCCCCACATCTCTAAATTTAGCTCAGAAGGTTTAATTGTAACAATTTTGGGACATTTTTCAGGCTGAAAACATGGATTTCTCACGTATATACATTTGTAAGTGTAAATGTAATTCTCTCTGCAGTTGGATAAGCTGCAGTTGAATAATCTATCCCTAGTGCTTCCAGATATTCAGTTATGTGAAAAACAAAGTACACCCTCTTTGATATAGTTTTTGTATAGTTTTATGTATCAGGCGATACTAAAAATCATCTGGTCTTTACACTCTTAAAAGTAGGTAAATACAACTTCAGATGAATAACAACACATGACATATTACATCACGTCATCATCAATGGTGGGTTTCCCTTACCTTTGTTAATGGTTCATGCACATGCACCACTTCTACGCATGCACAGACCATATTTGATGAGGTCGGGGCGGGGGGGCGGAGCCTCCTGCCACCGCTACTACTGGCTCAGCCGGACCGGGCCGAACCGGTAGCAACCCACCACTGGTCACCATGTATTTTACAAAAGGAAAGCCAAAATGGAGGAGTCACATGTGAAAACTAACACCTTATGAGTCAATATTTTATAGAGCCACCTTTAGCAGCAATAACTTCAAGGAATTGTTTTCTGTATGACCAAAAACAGTCTCTTGCTTTGTTGTGGAGGAATTTTGGCCCACTCTTCTTTACAACATTGTTTCAGTTCATTGAGGTTTGTGGGCATTTGTTTATGCCCACCTCTCGAGAGGTCCCACCGCAGCATTTCAATTGGGCTGAAGTCTGGACTTGGCTATTGCAACACCTTGATTCTTTTCTTTTTCAGCCATCCTGTTGTAGATTTGCTGGTGAGCTTGGGATCATTGGCATGGAAGCAAAAGAGATAGGATTTCTTCTTTGTTCTACCAGCGTAAGACTAGTGTAGAGCTAGCGCTGATAGAGCAAAGAAGACATTTGATCTCTTGTTTTAATGACAATCCTTTCCTCCCCAGCCAGTGTAAACGACGACAAAATCTTCTTAGATCTCTTTGCCAGCATAAAACTAGTGCTGGTATTGCTAAGAAGAAATCCTAGTAGTTTGCGCTAACTGTAAGGAAAAGGATTACAATGGAAGCAAAATAGGCCTGATTTCTTCTTAGCCCCACTAGCACTGCTTTACATTAGTGTTGTGCTGGTAGAGCAAAGAAGAAATCTCATCTCTTTTGCTTCCATGGCAATCCTTTCCTCCTCAGCCAGGATAAATCACTAATGCTGGCTGGAGTGAAAGGATTGCCATGGAAAGAAAAGAGTTTATATTTCTTCTTCTTGATTATGCCACGTGGCCCAGCTGGCTTCCTGAGCTCATCAGAAATTTTGTAAGTGAATGGTGATGGGGGAGTGGGGTTGGGGAGGAATGCATAGTATATTGCAAAGCAGGCCAACATACTGGGGTCTGGGGATTGTGAGGACTGACTGGGCAAGATGGAAGGGAAATAGATGGGTGGGTATGCTGCAGCATCTCTGCAGTGAAGGAGTCAAGGACTCCCGGGGTGGGAGGCGCTGCAAAAAATCAACTTTGGCGCAGATTCGTATTTAGCATTTGGGGGAGTGTTGTAACTTCAGAAATTCGTTGAATGGCCTGTCGTACCTAAAGGATTACCTGTACTTCTTTTTTTCAGATCTTCTGCAACCCTTTCATAAACAATAAAACTTACACTTTCTTTTGAATCTTACAGACAAAGATGATGCCAACAGAAGCACACTGGACAACTGAGAATAACAAGCAACACTGAAAAGCAAAGCAAATTGAAGCAGAAATAAAAATATTTTCTATTTCCTTCAGAAAGCTGCAGAATTCATCTACTTCATCAGCAGGTAAGAGACAGAAAAGAGAAAATCATGAAGAGATTTGCCGTTCGAAAAAGTAGATTATATAGAATTTAAGAATACTTACTTGAAAAGGTCAAAGGAGATCATTTTTCCGTTCAGAAAAAGAGGGAAATATCTGGAAGCCAGTGGGGAAGAAAATGTCAATTGGATAGTCACATATGGCAGCCAGTAATGCAGGCACCAACAAAATAAGGAATCACATATTTTTGACCTCCTCAAGAATGTCAGTGATGGAAAAGCTCCATAGATGTGCCTATTGTGGGAAAAGTAAAGAGTTCAAATCACAAGAGGATCCACAGTGAACAAAGGCCATATAAATACTCTAAATGTGGCAAAACTTTAGTCAGAATAGCTCCCTTGCGATTCATAGAAGGATCCTCATAGTAGAGATGCCCTACAACTGCTCCCAATGTGGTAAATGCTTTTGCAAGCATGGCAACTTTGTGATACATCAGAGGACTCACACCAGGGAGAAACCATATGAGTGTCCTGAGTGTGGGAAACGTTACACAGCAAATTCCTACTTGATAAGACACCAGAGGACTCACACAGGAGAGAAACCCTTTGAATGTCCTGAATGTGGGAAAGGTTTCACTGAGAATTCCAGCCTGCTGATACACCAGAGAACTCACACAGGAGAGAAACCCTTTGAATGTCCTGAATGTGGGAAAAGCTTCAGTCAAAATTCCAGCCTGCTAATACACCAGAGGATTCACACAGGAGAGAAACCCTTTGAATGTCCTGATTGTGGGAAATGTTTCAGTCAGAATTCCAACCTGGTGATACACCAGAGGACTCACACAAGAGAGAAACCCTTTGAATGTCCTGATTGTGGGAAACGTTTCAGTGTCAATTCCAACCTGCTGATACACCAGAGAACTCACACAGGAGAGAAACCCTTTGAATGTCCTGAGTGTGGGAAAAGTTTCAGTCAGAATTCCCAACTGGTGATACACCAGAGGACACACACAAGAGAGAAACCCTTTGAATGCCCTGATTGTGGGAAAGGTTTCAGTGTCAATTCCAACTTGCTGATACACCAGAGAACTCACACAGGAGAGAAGCCATTTGAATGTCCTGAATGTGGGAAAAGCTTCAGTCGGAATTCCTACCTGGTGAAACACCAGAGGATTCACACAGGAGAAAAACCCTTTGAATGTCCTGATTGTGGGAAAGGTTTCAGTGAGAATTCCAGCCTGGTGAAACACCAGAGGACTCACACAGGAGAGAAACCCTTTGAATGCCCTGAGTGTGGGAAAAGTTTCAGTCAGAATTCCAGCCTGGTGAAACACCAGAGGACTCACACAGGAGAGAAACCCTTTGAATGTCCTGATTGTGGGAAAGGTTTCAGTGTTAATTCCAGCCTGATGATACACCAGAGAACTCACACAGGAGAGAAACCATTTGAATGTCCTGAGTGTGGGAAAAGTTTCAGTCAGAGTTCTCATCTCATTGACCACCAGAGAACTCACACAGGAGAGAAGCCCTTTGAATGTTCTGAATGTGGGAAAAGCTACAGTCAGAATTCCTACCTGGTGATACACCAGAGGATTCACACAGGAGAGAAACTCTTTGAATGCCCTGATTGTGGGAAATGTTTCAGTCAGAATTCCTACCTGGTGATACACCAGAGGATTCACACAGGAGAGAAACCCTTTGAATGTCCTGTGTGTGGGAAAAGTTTCAATCAGAGTTCCCATCTCATTGGCCACCAGAGGACTCACACAGGAGAGAAACCCTTTGAATGTCCTGAATGTGGGAAAAGTTTCAGACAGAGTTCCCATCTCATTGGCCACCAGAGGACTCACACAGGAGAGAAACGCTTTTAATGTCCTGATTGTGGGAAACGTTTCAGTGTCAATTCCTATCTGGTATATTCCTATCACCAGAGGACTCACACAGAAGAGAAACTGTACGAGTGTCCGGATTGTGGGAAAGATTTCAGTATTTCGTCAGGGCATCCCTAGGCCTCCTCCACCCCCACCCCTCAAGACACCTATTGCTCTGGTTCCCAACCGTTGGTTCCTCCAAGGCATCCCTAGGCCTCCTTCACCCCTGCCGCCCAAGTCACCTATTTATTTATTGGTTCGATTTATATGCTGCCCTTCTCTGGAGACTCATGGCGGCTTACAATGTGTTAAGCAATAGCCTTCATAGTTTTGTATATACCTGCTTAGTAGGGCTTTCGGCCCCCCACACGTGGTGTTCTTTTTTTATACAAAGTCACCTTATTGCCCCCACAATCTGGGTCTCATTTTACCTACCTCGAAAGGATGGAAGGCTGAGTCAACCTTGAGCATGGTGAGATTTGACCTTGCAGTAATTGCAGGCAGCTGGTGCTACTTTAACAGCACTTAGTCAGCTGCGCCACCAAAGCTATTGCTCTGGTTCCCAACCCTTGGTTCCCCCAAGGCATCCCTATCCCTCCTCCACCTCCACCCCCAAGACACCTATTGCTCTGGTTCCCAACCCTTGGTTCCCCCAAGGCATCCCTAGGCCTCCTCCATCCCCACCCTCCAAGACACCTATTGCTCTGGTTCCCAACCCTTGGTTCCCCCAAGGCATCCCTAGGCCTCCTCCATCCCCACCCTCCAAGACACCTATTGCTCTGGTTCCCACCCTTCATTCCCCCAAGGCATCCCTAGGCCTCCGCCACCCCCACCCCCCAAGACACCTATTGCTCTGGTTCCCAACGCTTGGTTCCCCCAAGGCAGGGGTGAAATGCTACCAATTTGCTCCGGTTCGGGGGAAGCTCCACCCTCAAGCCTTCCCACAGAGTAACCCCCTAGGCCTTTTCCCACTCCCACTGGCTCCCTGCAGGCCTTAGGCCATTCTGTCACGGGACCTACCAATTACGATTACACCTTGCAGCAGCTGTTAAACGAGACTGCTTTGCTTAATTGCAGACTTAGGCTTTCCTTTCAAAGGCTTCCCGTAACCCAATATCTTAGGTCTCCCCAGGACTTTCCTTCCCTCACAGCGTCTCTCCAGGCCTCTCCTTCCTAAAACAGGGTCCCTGTAATCCTTAGGTCGAAGTCCAACCGTACCAGGCCTCATAGCGTCCTCCTCTGTATCTTTTAAAGACATCTGAACCTTATATTGGGGAAGGAGGGTAGGACGGAAATCTCTCGGCTGTATGACTTTTTCATGGAAGCAGCCGTTATTTTCGCTGGGCCTCGGATTCATCGCTGGACCCTCAGGTGGATTTGTGGAAGTCGCTGCCATTTTGCCACGACAGCCTCAGGACCAAAATGGCGGCTGCTTCTGGGTCATTGTCATGCAGGAGAGGGAGAAACTGCTCTGTTTCGTTACCTTAACACTGTGCAGAAAGCCTTAAGGAATTGTGGGTGCACTGAAAATGATGGCTGCTTCCATGAGATCTTGAAAATTTACGTGTGAAATAGGTGATGGGCTTGTGGGGAGTAGGCCCGAGGCCCAGTGAAAAAAAGCAGTGTAACATATCAAATGAAAAGCTATTCTGCCTTGCAGATGAACCTGGTGGAGAAGAGCTGTAGGAATATTGAGTTGAGGAGAAAAGGGATCGTGGCTTTGATCACAAGATCTCCATGCTTATTAGCAACTCCTGCTGTGATCTCCTCTTCTTGGAAATGCCTGCTTGTTACCCTTTGATGGGTAAAATGTACAATGGAAAATGTTTCATTTTAAAAAACGCATTGTGTAAGAAGACTTTTGACAAGGAAAAAATGGTAGTGTCAGTATTGCTATGAACAAGATGCTCAGACTTGCCTCAAATTGTGAGATGGGCAGCGAATAAATTTATTAATAAATTTAATAATAGAAAGGTAACATAAACATCTCTTGCCAATTTTCGCTTAGTTGCAAGGTCTCCACACATATAATAGTTTCTAACAAACTACCATTGTTCTTGTGCATTCTGTAGCTCTACGACCGATCTGTCTTCCTCAGCTTCCCTTCCCTCCTCTATGTAAATTTAAATTTCTAATTTCAATAGTACACCAGTCCAGCCATTCTTTGTAGCATTTTTCAAGTATCCCTAGACAGAATTCAAGGTTTTTTTTTAATTAGTATTATTATGAGGGGTGCACTTCATTATCCATAAGGTCTCTCCTTTTTTTATTTTTACTATGGTAATAATGAACTTTACTGATTCTGGCATTTTCCAGCTCTTTCTTCCTGTCTGACTTGCAGAAAGGATACATTTTTTAAAATGGCTTCAAACTACTTTCACTACCATTAGAAGGATGAGAAGTTTTTGAAACATTTGATATGATATAAATCTTCTTTTTGTGCCATATTCATCATCAGATGTTGGCGATCATGTTGGCCATCCTATTTTTATCAATAGCCGCATGAAAAAGTGCTGCTGAATTTTGTCCAAACCACTCCCTTAGATTTTGACGCCATGATGTTCTTCTTCTGCCTGGAGCTCATTTGCCTTCAAACTTTCCCTGGAGGATTAAATGAAGTGTGCCGTATTTTTCTGGGTGTCGCATCACATGTCCAAAATATCCCAACTTTTGTTTTTTTAAATTTAAATTTTTTTTAATGGTATAAATAGGTGACTTAAAAGATTAATCAGATTAGCATTGATCCTCAGTACTTATTTTCCAAGGGTGTGTCATCAGCATTTCATCAAAAAAGGACTACAGGATAATGTATAGGAGTTAATGGCTAAAGCTAAAATTTCATGTTCATGGATATTCCAGAAGAAAAATTGCAGACTACAGGAACCATGTTCACCTTTAACATTTGGAATTAACCACAGATACATTTTTTTCAACTTCCAAAATGTCTGAATAGCTTATATTTAAGCAAATAGAAAAGAGCCTTTTCCAACTTTCCAACTTGTTACTTCCTCCCAGGGTTACTTTCCTGCTTACTTACTTACTTATTTACTGCTTTGGCTGCCGTAAGAAACGGGAGTGGGGAGAGCGAGGGGGCCAGGGGTGGGGGGAAGCGTGCTGGAGGACTTTGGAAGAAATGAAACTGAATCTTTGAAGTTGCTATCGGGTCAACCGTCGTGGCATTCCTGATTGATGACGCTACCAGACGTGCTTCCACCTGATTCCTGGGAGACCTTTGGATTGGATGATTTACAATGGACAGTGGGAGGGGATGCTTTCTATATGCAATTTTCGTGCCTATTGCCTTTAATTTCAGCTTTCCTTGGTTGCGTTCACTTCATTTTCTAGTAAAAGTACCTTTCTCTATAAACCATGGAGGTTGGGTCATTCTTTCCTGGACTTTGAAGGAAGCACACCTGACACATTGCCTGATTTGGGGTGGGTGGGGGTAGACCGTAATATGATTTTTAAATAAAGAATATAGGATTAGTTTTCTTTTCTCTGCTTTAGTCTTTAAAATTGCTTTGTCTGTTTTAACCAAGGGTAGTCAACCTTTTTATACCTACCGCCCACTTTTGTATCTCTGTTAGTAGTAAAATTTTCTAACTGCCCACCAGTTCCACAGTCATGCTGATTTATAAAATAGGGAAGTAACTTTACTTTATAAAATTTATAAATTCATTGCCTCATTGGATAATGTTTTATGACACAATAAACACATTGGATGTTGTTTATTTACAACAGATTCTCTTCAGATACTCTGGCAAATAGCCACGAGCGTATTTCTTTTTTTGACACATGGGCTCACAATATTTCACAATATTTTGTTTGAAGCTGTAGGAACGTGGTCACTCTCACAAATCTAACTGCGTACTGACCAGTGCGACCGCAAACAAAAGAGCCTGCACCGTGTATCGTCGTCTACACATGCCTCTTGCACTTCGTGGATTGGGTTTGTGGGGGGGGGTGCGCCGGCTACCAGGTCTCCTTATCTGTTATAGCTGGGTGGTGTTGGGAGAGATGCGCCAGCTATTCTGGAACAAGGCTTTTTTATTTGTGGTCGCACTATAGCGCCATTTAGTTTCACTTACGTAACGTGAAACTTCTGCTTGGGCGATACAAATATTATATTTTCAGAAATTTAAATTGTCACGGAGAATTTTATGAAAACCTAATGAAAATGTTTTTAAATAATGCTATGAAATTTTTTTAAAAAGTCAATTAAATTAAAAAAAAAGGAAAGTGCTTCAGTATCGCACAAAACCCTACCGCCCACCATGAAAGCTGGAACGCCCATCAGTGGGCGGTAGGGACCAGGTTGACTACCACTGGTTTTAACAGTATAATCAACCGAGAAAGTTACGTTAAAATTTTCCACAATTGTAATTGATATTTTGTTAATAGTGGGAGAAAGTAGTGCCTAAATTTAGGATAACTTAAAATAGGCAGCACAGAGAGGTTGTGCTTAGTTAATGACCCCTGGTGGCACTGAATGAGGGGGATTTATTATCAGTCCTCAAAGTTCCAACCATCCCAGAATCTCCTGAACACCTGATTGCAATCCAACATATGGCAATCCGTTCATACGACAAAACAACTAGACACAAGGACAGTTTTTCCCCCATGCCATCACTCTGGTAAACAATTCATTTCCACAATATTCTCTTATGCCCTCAGATGTCAAATCACATAGAAGGTCTGCATTATTATTATTATCCTTCTCATCTTTCCTATCATCTATTCCCTTAACATCTTATGACTAGAACTTTATTGTTTGTATGTTATGATTTATGTTGATTGCTTATTTGGTACCCTAATAAAAGCCAGCAGTGTGCGGCAGCAGCCAAAAAAGCTAATACAGTCCTTGGTGGTATATACAGAGGCATAGAATCAAAATCACATGAAGTATTAGTACCGCTTTATAAAGCCTAATTAAAGCCACACCTGGAATACTGCATCCAGTTTTGGTCACCACATTATAAAAAAGATGTTGAGACTTTGGAAAAAGTGCAAAGAAGAGCAACTAAGATGATTAAAGGCCTGGAGACTAAAACGTGTGAGTGAAGAATGGTTGTAGGATTTGGGTTTGGCTAGTCTAGAGAAAA